GGCACGGGATGACAGCATGCTGACAGCCTCACTGGAGCCACAGCTACCGAAATGAGTCCCTGCGCTGTCTACGTAGCACTAATACCCGAAGCATAGCACTGCATACATGAATACCTGTAGCACTCATCAACTGCTGAAAACCACTGCAGTCATTTAAAGGTACCTCTCATCCTCTTGGTCCACAGAATTAAACGCTACTACTTGGGTACTCCTCCAGTTCACAGCCACTGACAAGTATGGGCACGACTCACACCTACACTATGTATATCCATTTCCACATGCCAGCTACGGGGACATCCAATGTAATTCTGCATTTAGAGGGCATAATTTGCTTTATTTCGATCAAATGCCTAATTCATAACTTTGCAGTATTTGGGGATGGGAGGGGTTAGGCTAAATAGCTACTTGTCAGAAAACAGATTCAAATTCTTATTCAAACATCTAATGACAAGACCCACTTGAATTCATCCCCTCCCCTGCCACAGAAATTTCACTTGGTGAGCTGCCCTGCATAAATCTGCACATAACACACTTTTCCAGCAGGCAATATTTTGTAAGGCTTAGTATCTGACAGATACAGCCCTTTCAATGAAAACAGTATGAAACTGTCATGATTACTTGAGCAGACATCACTGACAAAAGGAAATTTGTGCCTGAACTGTTGCTGCAGAAATATTTCAGGCAATATTTTTTCAAAGAGAATATAGATCTGGAGGGACATTGCCAAGGTTTTAAAGATCAAAATGTGTGACTTGCAGTGTTATAATTGGATGGAAACAGTCCTCCAGTTCTGAAACATCGGGTTCGGTTTGGTTTTTATATCAAGCACCACATTTGTAGGATTTCTGTAGGACCTATACATCCCAGCGTCTGTTTCCCCTACTCGGTAACAGTGAGCTTTGCTGACAGAGCCAATGAGTCCAACAGCGGTAAACGAATCCCTTCTGACATGACAAGAGTGTTACACAGCCAAACACTGCAATTCACATGAAAAAACGACAGACTGCTTCAAATCTAACTCTACTGGAAACAGAGGGCTTGCTTTAAACACCTGTTTGCCAAACAAGGAGCAGACCAATTATCCATTCTCTTACAGCAGCACTATGGAAACAAAGGTAGTACACGACCTTTGGTGGCATTTAAGGCAAAGTAACTGGGAGGAATGGCACTGTCTCCTCACCAGCTCGTGAGCAGGGCAGGGCTCCCACCCAGGCCGGAGCAGTGGCATTAGCCGGGCTGCAGGTTCAGCCCAAGTCCTCCCGTGGTGACCCACCACTTGGCACCCTCCCCGCATCCCACCGTCTCCCCTCCTACCCGCTGCCTCCTCCCCTGACCATCCAAGGGCTGCCTGCCCTATTTTGGTAGGGGCTGGATAGTGTGGAGGAGCCCCAAGCTAGCTTTCCTCCTGCCAGGACCACGTACCACCATCTACCCAAAACCAGCCTGGGGCTGCAGCTGGGACCACAACCAGGTTTAGCGCTGGCAGCTGTGATGCTCTCAGAGACATCACGGACATCTGACTCTCGTGACAAGGGTCCTTGAACCCTTCCTAACATTGCCCCACAATGAGTTTCTGGCCACAGTGGAGGCACTCCCAGCCAGGGAAAAACCTTATGTGGTCCATGTCACCTCAGACATGACATCATGGCATCCATCATCCTCCACCTCCAGCTTGAAACGGCCATCCCAGCTCACCTGCTGGGTGGTTGGCACCCTGCGGCTGTCCCAGGTTTCACAGCTGCAGAGACACCCGATGTCCCTGACCCCCATCAGCAGCACAACCAGGACCTCCAGCATCCCTACAATGGACTTGCTTGCAATTTTGATCAGTGAGGTTGTGGGAAGGGGAAAGAAAAAAAAAACAAATCCACAAACCACACACACTAAAAGGAAATAAAGGTGTTCTCCAACTATTTTTAGTTCTGTACAGCCCCTCAGGACTAAGATAAAAAATAGAGGTGATTGGGAGGTGGGGGGGTAGTGTACCAAAAAAACCACACACTGCAGGACTAAGAAAACATTGCTTTTCTAGTAGAATTTTGGAAAGTCAGAAAAATCTGTTCTGGTTTTTTTTTTTTTTAATACGACTCACCTTCTCTTTCCCCATGCAAACCCAAATGAACTACCACTTTTTCACAGATGTTAAAAAAAGCTTTTTTTTTTTTTTTTTTTTTTTTTTAAATTTTCCCCCCCACCCCAGAACACTTCACCAAGACCAGCTTCCAAAAGAAAAAAAGCTTGGATTAAATCCTTTTAAAGAGGTCTAACAGTCAGTATTTGTTTCTGAAGGGATAAACAAACCCAAGGCTTTCCTAACAAACATGGACAAAATACTACACCTATAAATTCCTAAAGAGATACTGTTCCTTAATTTCACCTCTAGTTTGAAACACAGCCAACCCAAAACCACAGACTTTATCAAGAGTAGCTGTCAGGAGGAGAAAGCCAACTAACTTCTCCTCTGAAGTAACCTGAGTAGTCCCTCAGAAAGGGAGGGCATGTGATGAGCCACAAAATACATTCACCTCAACAATTAACACCCTGAAACACTCAGCTGACAGCAAAAAGCTGCTTCACCTTCTGCAACCCCTTCCAGTCCTCTCTTCAACCTCCCCAGGGGCAAGCCCATTACCTGGCAAGTCAGGGTGAGGTTCAGCCTCTGCTGATGCACACCAGTTATTTGAAACAAAAGCAAAAAACATCAGGTGCAAACATAACCGCAGCCCTGCGAAGCACCTACATCCTCGGTGCAGGTCCCCAGGCTGCGGTGTGGCAGCACTGGCATGCCAGCAGCTCCAAGTGCGGGCAGACAAATGAGGCTGTGCTGTGCACTGCGCTGGCGTCTCCCATCTCTGCGCCTGCTGCTGCATGCGGCCACATGAAATACAGATCCGGCTGCCTGCACACAGGAGGGTAAAATGACATCACTGACCTGGTTAACCCACTTTTTGGGATGTTGCAAGGGCCACTGCCACGGACAGATCTGTCAGCCCACCAAAACTATAAAGGTGATACAGTCCACTGAACTCAGTCTTTTAATAACTGTGACTCACAGCTGGGACTCATCTGCTGCAAGCACACCCTCCCAGCGCTGAAAAGATGGAGAAAGCACAGCCTTCAAATACGCATGGGCAAATGAATGAGAACATCTCTATCAGAATTTCCAGAGCTTTTTGACATGGATGCCTTTTATCCAGAACACCAATACCTACATTTTGCAGGTGGAATCTGCCCTGACTTGGCTATGAAGTTTCACAAGCATTTCAGGCCACCACCTCTGTGCTTTCAAGCCCAAGACTTATCTTCCTGTGCCCTATTCCTGTGCTTAGTTTACCAAGAAAGGTCCCAAGTAACTGGATGATACCTTCCTCCTTCTCGATTTTGGTCCACTTTGCAAGTGATACTTGCCCACAACAATGGAGACCATTGACTGGAACATGGCTCCAAGGACATACCTGGGGAATTGAGGAAACAGGTGCAAATTCACACCCATCTCAGACCACACCAAACCTGTCAGCTCTCGCTGCGGCAGCTCCCACGCATGAACAGACCTGGGAACTCGCTGCAGACATGTGTCCCTGCTTTCAGAGCCATGGCTAGCTCAGTGTTTCCCAAGAGCAAGCACTTTCCTCTGCAGGAGACACTCCACGATCCAAGAAAGAGAAGTATTCTTTGAAAGCTGGAATTATTTCAAGCTCCAGACTATTAGTACTGCCAACAATTAACATCCTAAAGCAGTTGTCTGCCCTGTCTGCTCCCAGAACATATGGCACAACCAACACATTATAAAAATTTTGCTGAGGGATCCCAATTAATCTAACTGTAACTCATTGAAAAAGTCGTAATTAAAATATTTTTAAACGGGCCACCACCAAAGGCTGCAGGCAAATACCTGATTTTATATGCATGTTTACAAATACCACAGCTGTCTATATATTCTATATGCTTTATCTCTACTTGAAACCAACTAATCATGGCCAAGCAACACTGATGTACATGCTTACCTTCAAAGTGGTGAGTAAATCCAGTGGATTCATTCTCACCTCTAACCTGCATTTAGGGAGACACAAACACGAAGCATGTCAGCACCTGTGCAATCAGTCTGGATTTGGGGTTCCAGATTCACTGATGTGCTAGCAAAGGCACCTTAAAATCAATTCTGGTCACACTTTCAGCACCTGGAAATCCCCAAAGACAGCAGTGATAACACAGGTGTCCTATCTCAACTGCCTCCCGTGCATCAGCTTTAGGTATTGTGCACTGTAAGCCAGCACAGCGCCCAGCATCCACTGATGCACCTTCCTAGGCAGCTCTAAAGCATCTGATTGCCTGGGCCAACATCTTGCATTTTTACAGCATCCCATGCCTAGAAGTACTCCAAATTGCTTCACAAGCATCACAGGTTTGACATGTCTGTTGGTAAAGAACACAAAGCACCCACTACTGAGATGCACCAGATTTTTAGTAACAAATCCCAATTCTTTAGCCTTGCCTAGCAATAGCAGACAACAGCCAGTGGCAGGAAGTAAAAACATAATAATAATAATTTGAAAACCCAGAAGAAATTTGGCCAACACACATTCCAGATGAGTGTTTGGAAGATTATACATTAAAACTGACATCTCCCTTCGAATAAAAATATTCTAGAGTAGCGATTTCAATCTTCTGCAAAGAACAAGAAACACTAAAAAGCTCCTTTCTGTAGGAGTATGTTTTCTTCCTGTCTTCCTCAACCGTCTCCGAAAGAACTGGGAGCAGTTGTTTCCTACAGACACTGTAATAACACATGCACCCAGAGTACAGGTAGCTATCAAATAAAATCCCACCCCAAAACTCCACGAAATCAATACAGCATCAATCATTTTCTTCCATGGGAGAAAGGTGTGCCAGTCATGCCTCTTCCATGCCTCAACCCATTCCTATAAAGACAAGATATCAACACAAACCAGCTCTGACAAATGCTCCACTTCCCAGAGATCTGTCCCACCTGGTTACAGGATCTGGTTTTGAACATGAACAAAAACATAGATTGAACAGTCCTGTTGCCCTCTGGACCTCCAGTTTGCCCATGTGTGTTTTAAATAACTGTTTACCTTGGTTCCACCTGAACAGTTACACAAAATGAAATAAGGTTGAAATAGTCCAGGTAACATGTGACAGCTGAGTCAAAGCACAATAGTCTCTTCCAAAGTGGTATAAACCTCTTCCTGACCTGAAGGAGAAAACAAATCAGACTAATCCCAAGAAACAGCTTGTCTTCAAAATGGGAGATGCTTGTACGCATCACTTGCATTGTTCATGATCTCTGTACTCATCCATGTCCACATCCGAATCAAAGAGGGAGTGTCCAGTGTAATCTGTGTCAGGGGTTTGAGAAATACTGTTCCCTTCCTCATCAAATGTTTCTGTCCTTGAATAAAAACTGAAGTCCTGCAAAGGGGAGTAAGTCTTGCTTGCTTCGCTGCTTTCCTCAGATTCATACAGAGTGTTATCATCATCATGGTGCCATTCTGGCCAAAATTTCCTCCTTATTCTTTCACAATACATAGCAAGGTTAATCAGTTCACCTGCAACACAGCACAACAGACTCCAGTAAATACATCCAGTCAATAATGCTCTAACTCACCTGCTGATGCAGAAACATTAGCGCTGTTTGGAAACTAATTGTGCAGGCTCCTTCCAAAAAGATTTCAAAATACCAAGATCCCATCAATCCTCTTAGCGGCTCTGTTTGTAACTTTCATGTAACTTAAAACATGTATTATTAACATACATACAAGAAGAAGAGTTACACTGGAATGAACATAAATGCATGTAGCAAAATAACTATCCGCAATTCAACCTCTGCAGAAATAAATCAAGACAAGATACTAATACTGTAAGTTTTGCACAGTAAAATTCTTGCTTATGTTGCAGAAACTTGGTTTCTAACGACACAATTCGATCCTATATACACAATACAGTGTAAAACACAGTTAATTTGGGTTTTCCACCACCAGATGGCAGCGTTGTCTGCAAGATAAATTCACATCTAAGTTTTTATATGTCACTGGCTCACCCCTCATGTTCCTAGCCTTAGTACCTTACACCTTATGTTTACACATACATGTACACTTAGAGTGTGCTTAAAGAATAAGTTACAAAAAACTTCAAAGAACAAAGAAATAATAGTATATTAAAGGGAATGTGTATGTGAAACCTGCACTCACAATAGCATGAGTAGGTGGATGGGTACAGAGAATCATCCATACTCCTTGGGTATTTGCATGTATTACCATCTATTTATTTTCATGAGAGACAAACTAGTTCCAACAACACAGTATTCCTTGAAAGCCATGGACCCTTCAGAATTTTATCTGTGATTCCCCAGACATCAAGGGGAAGAACTGTATAGACAATACTTTTATGTCCTTATGTCAAGTGTTTTCTTCCTCAGTTTTAATAATGAGCAAGTCTATGCCTCCTAACTATTGCTTTAGTAGCTCTCTTGCGCAAAGTAGATCTACAGGTCACATTCATTCCTTTTACACCTATTTCCCATCCTTTTCCTCCTTAGCTCTTTGCATTTTTCATACCACATGGATTTATTCTGAAAAGAGATGCAAGGCTACTTTCACATGCCTATGCCACCCCACAAGAAAAAAAGAAAAAAAAAATGTGTGGAGGGAAGGGGTATGGTGGTTTCCAATTCATGCAAAAACACAGGGACTCCAAAGTCAGGCTGGACTTTTTCCTTGCCCAGCATCTTCAGTAACAGCAAAGGCTGTAATTTCAGTGGGACAATAGCACTTGCAGTTCTACTGTCAATGACACTACTCAGTTCAGCAGAATTTGGCTCATGGTCATGCTTCTGTCTTCTCATACTTTACCCAGCATTCACTCCTTAGAGGCATTCAGTCTTTGCTATGTGAAAGAGGGAAAAGATCGAGTACAGGAATAGAAACAATCATTGTGTAAAACATTAAAGAGAAAACAAACAAGAATTTTAAGAGAAAACAACATTACAGGATACAAATGCTACATCAAAGGCAAGAACAGCCTGCGATGCAGTTGAAGTGCTGCTGCGGTCTTGAACTGTCTTTACAAGGTGCTCCAAGTTTAAATGTGGCAAATGCCACCAAGAGTTTTTCATCAGAGATCACTTAAGCTTTCTTACCTTTGATTAGTCTCTCTGGTCGAGTCCCTGGTAGTGTCCACATTGCCTGTGCCAGATGCCCGAAGACAGTGGCATCAACGGTGGAAACGTTTGGTCCCATAATGTACTTCTTGTCACCTGTGAATACAACAGCAAACATTTCTCAACTGGATGTCCCTTCTCCCCACTTAAAAAAAAAAAATTTACCCTGGTTAAATCTTTAGCTTTTTTTTTTTTTTTTTTTTACTGAAATCATCTAGCTGAAAAGGTTCACTGGTTCAAAGACAGGGATTCAATGTAGAATACAGTTCAAAAGCTGTTGCTAGGGTTCAGGAGGTGAAATCCATTACTACAGCTTCCCCTGTGTTCACCACTTCTCGAACTAGGCCAATTACAGAGCCACCACTGGCCAAGTAACCTCCACTCATCACAGCTAGCAGTGCATAGACACTGCACTAGTTCTGCTGCATTTAAAATCTCCTCTGCAGCCAGCAGGTGCCCAAAAGCATGATTTTCTCCTTTGGTGCAAACCCAAAATCATTCAGCCATGGTTAAAAATCATGAATGCACTTGCTGAAAGAAGCTGGTCACCCTGTATCTCTCATGTGTGCAGATCCAGTTTCAGGTAACTCATCTGATCACACAAACAAAAGAAAGTTGTACCCAAAGCTCTCCTCTCCCACCATTTGTTCAGGCTGAAACCAATGCACCAGTCAGACTGGCAGTGACTGCTCCAAAATGACCTGCATCTCCAGGAGGACACAGCTGCAGGCAGGAGTGAACAGCTCCTCTCACCCACCACCAGTGTGGTGTCCCCACCCCCAAACACTGGTTTCTACCTGGCAGGGACCAAACAGAGGCACATCAGGCATGCTGGCAGGCAAGTGAAACAGCAGCCGCTTGGGACTGGCCTGGTCCAGAGAAGTGGCATGTCTGCTCCACACCGCTATTCTGCTTACCCCTCTGGGCACCCCAATGCCATGATGGTCCTAAGTGGCCACCACAGCACAAACAGATGGATAACTACTTAAGACAGGGAAGAAAATCACGTTTCAAAGCCACCGCTTGCAAAGAAACATCCAGTATAAACTCATTTCCTCATCACAGGCACAAGACCTGGAGCAAAGACTGCACGTGGCACACAGGTGAAACATGCAGTATTGCAGAGGTCAGGTTAGATGGTTGCACTGTCCCTGCCTTGGCCCAAAGTGCTAAAAACTCTATGAAATGTGGTACATAATTGAATTCTCCAAATCCAGTTATCCCATCTCCCCAGGACGTTATTCCCCTGCCCAATATAAGCTGCCTGTAATTCAGCAAGTTATTAAATGTTAGAGTTATTGAGTGAGTTTAGAAAAACTGTCCAGCAGTAAAATGCATCCAATTCCAGAGTATAGTACAAGGAATACTGTCATCTCCCTGTACGGTAGCATAGCAAAGCTCAGGAATAACCAGTAACAATAACCTCCTCTAGCCTGTCAGATGTAATTTTAACATGGAGTTAACTCTCCCCAGCTCCTTCACAGCTGCATCAATCTACTGTTTGAAAACCATGTACAAGGTAAATGTTGTGTCTTTTCAGTATTTATCTGATGCCTAGCATTCATTGATCTCAAACACAGCTCAAAAACTGGTCCCCAAACCACAGTTATAGGCCAACACTAGGAATTTAGCACCACACAACTGGTTCTGAGACTCAATCCATAACAATGTTGTGCTGGAAAATAATACTGCCATTTCCATCTCACTACAACTAAGGCAGGCAGTGAGTGAGGACTGAACCATCTCACTCTTTTGCAAACACAATGGCTCCCCAGGCACAACACCTGCACCTTCAGGTGCGTGGCAACAAAGGGGAAGAGGAGGAAATAAAGCTGTGGTTCCGCAAAACTGTAAATATGGGTTTAGGTCACCCCGCAATGCATAACACAGCCTCCAAGCACATGTCTTTCTACCACTTCCGATCTGTTCCCAAAAATTCCAGTACAACTTTTTTCCAGAAGACTTTCTGACAGACCAGACACCTTCTCTCAGCATACAGTTTTATGCCAGATTACACAGCGCCTGTCACATCAAGGCTGCCACAGTGCTAATCTCAAACACCTCGCTGCATCCCCTAGCTAATCCAACAGAAATGCAATCACCTGGTCACACTGGACTTGGATCAAATTTGTACTGCCCAGGGATTTGACAGCACACAGCCCTGCTATTTAAGAACGCATGCACCAGAGGATTAAAGAGCAGCTACTTCAGCACTACTTCAAGTAACCCTGGCAAAAGACAGATCTATGAGACGGGCCAGCAGGAGACCTACACCCTTCCACAGCAGCATGTACAGCCCATGCAGGCTGCTGCAGGGCATTTCAACTAGCATTAGGGGCCTGCATTCAGGTTAGTCCCACCTCTGTGCTCTGAGCACCCCTGCCCTCCACAAAACATCAAATGCTTTTCAAAAGCCAGTTCAGGCAGCTGCTGCCCTGCAACTCCCTGCTCAAAATCCCCATTTACCCAAAAGCCTGAGGGAGGCAGACAGCTGAGAAGGCACCAACAGATTTACGGGCACCACTCACTCACTTGCATCTTTTAAATAATTATCAAAATGTATATTTTTCATTATTGCTAGTTCATATGCCCAGTTCCCCCCACTTCCTTACACTACTACCAAGCAGTAGGAAAGTACTACAACACAAGGAAATCACATTTGTGCTTTAAAGACTGCAGGACAGAGAGCAAGATGATACCAACAGGGTAGACTGATCCATCACAGGAGGATTAGTTCCAGTTTCTTTTATAAGAGATCTGGTAGAGTCTGTTAGGGAAAGAGGTACATGGAAGAAGGAAAAATGATTCTCAGAAATGAAAAAGAAAGAAAAAAGCATCCAAGATGCGACTGGGAATGTCAAAATGAGTGTCACAAGACCTGGCAGCTGCCAAGTTATCATCCTCTGGAAGCAGCTCTTGGAATTTAAAAATTATTCTTGTTCCTGTGGGAATGGTCTCTGTTAAAAAATGGGGAACATTAATCTGATATGCCTGATGACTGACAGCTGCAGTTTGGTATGCTATTCTGCATGATAGGCATCCTTTTTAAGCTCTTAAGATAGCCCTCTCACAGCCAAAATCCCAACTGCTTCCTCTCCTGGGAAAATACAAGGGCACATATACGTGGAAAGGAATCTCACAAAGATTTTTGTGCAGGCAATAGGCTGACTGACCGCCTTCTCCTCCACCCTGTGAAACGGGAGAGTCTCCAGTCAGGCTAGAAGTCCTCATCCCACCTCCTGTCCCCATCCCAGGCTACTACCCGGAGGCCACAGTTACTAGACCCAACCATAAACAGCTGGCTGGAGAAAACCTGAACATGCTGGTGTTAATGAAAAATCAAGGCAATTGTAGAAAAGCAGACAAATGCACCAATAAAAGGGCAAATATAATGATTCACATAACTGCACAGTGATTAATCTGACATCTGTTTCAGAGGGGAAGATGAAAAAAAATTGTACAATATTCAGGTGGTAATGTAGTAAAATAACAGGAATACAGCAGATGCCCATCAAGGTTTTTTGAAGTACACAAGGCACAACATTCTCATCTGGAAGTAAAAAGTCATACGTTGAACTTGCTCCAGCTCCTGTCCCAACCCTATTCCTCTCTGTAACATGCATGGAGCCACACAGTGCCAACTTTGAAGCTACAGCAACAGTAGTCCCACAGTTGAGAGCACTTGAGCTGGCCACAGCTTTGCAGCAGATGTGCCCAGACCTCTTCTAAAATGACCTGCTCCCTCCCTCCCGCAGAAAGAAAAAGGACCTCTTAAGCTCCAAAACCAGGTTTTCTTTGGAGAGGCACTAGAATCGGTAACTTTTTTTGTTAACAAAATGCAGCATGAGAAAGTGTTGACCCAAGAGGAGCTGTCAACAAATCTCCCCCTTGCCCAATGTGCCCATGCATCACATGTCTTTTTTCCACCTTGCTCCCAATCCAGCAATACAGCAGGTTTGCTTCAGAAAAAAGTTATAGAAAACTCTAAACAGCCCAATCTAGGTCCTCTGCAAACATCTTTGTTTCCAAAACACCTTGGAAGTGCAGAAGTATCTCTTCCTTCCCTGTCTCAGCAAGCACTCAGTTTCTGCCTTCTGCTGGGCTCTCCTCACCTTGCTCCCTCCATCCACTCCACACTTACCTACTTCAAGCATGTGCACTATAATATATCGTCCCTCACAGGGCAAGGAAGCATCCCTCCTACCCTCCACTCAGCCACCTCTTTAAAGCAATCGTAACAGGGAACAAAGCAGCCAAACAGGTACCATCTCTCTTGGTTCCTTGTGCAAAAGAGACACAAGCTCAAGGGAAGTGACCACCTGCCCCAAACTAACTCCTCAAAACGCAAACTTTACACAGAAGCACAATATGGTTAGCTTTCAGCAGACTGCAAGGCAAGAAGCACAGCATAAACAGCTCCAGTGCAGATTTCAGCCTGAGTTACAAAACAGAAATGAGGCTCATGTGGTTCTAACGGAGGTCAACCTTAAGACTAACCCTATGAGATCCACCCATGACAACCAAGCAGCCTAAAACCACCTATTCTGGCACAGAACCCATCTCCTACTAGCAGCTTTGAATGAAGTTTTGAATAAAGCTGCTAACACCAACCAAATACAACAAAGACCCCCTCCCCCCAATATATAAATAAGAGGTTTCATCTGAAGAACTAAACACTACGTTTTCCTAAATTCACATAGCAAAATGCTCTTCCAAAATCGCAGGCCACATTCCGGTCCTCTGGATACACATACTGGGTGCTCACAGAAGATAGCCATTTACCCCTCTGGAGACACAATTAGGTAGCCAACAGTGGGGAAAGGAACACTGTCCCTGCCAGAGCAAGGGTGGCACTGAATGACAGCAGCAGTGTGGACTCTACGTACTGACAAACGAGATTATTTGTGTATGTGACCAAGCTGCCAGAAAGCACTCGCAGTCAATTTCATCCTGTGGACAGCAGGTTGTGAACAAACAGAATGCGCGTAACTCGCTGTACGTTACCCAGGAGGCCTGCTAGAGTCCGCATGTCCTTCTCCATCAGCGTGTACATCTCCTCCTCTGAGAAGCGGCCAATGCCATGGCCATACATTTCCCGCTTCACAATCCCTTTGGTCAGATGGCAGAGGATCCACTTCAGCAAGTCACTGAAGGGGCCAAAAAGTGAAACCATCTTTTGCGTCTCATGAAGATTTTCCACCCACTGGCAATAAGCTAAAGTCCTAGAAGGATGTGAAAATAAGTTATAGCAGTGCAATACTTCCGTCAGCAGCCCATCACCACCCTGCAAAGGCTCACACAAAGGTTAGGCGGCGAGCTTTCTTAAGGCTGCGTGCTCACTGCCCTGATGGAGAGGTAGTTTCCAGTAAAGAGTAGACCCTGATGCAACTCAGAGAGTGACAGCAGAGAAAACTGACTTTGCAATACTTACGCAGACTGCCCAGTGCTTATTCTCTCAGTAAATCATGGCTCACTTCAAGAGAAAATGAGATTCGCATTGAAATATAAAATAAAAGCTGCAGAATTCTGCTAAACTCGCATAACAAAATGCAGTGCCAAAAGGATTTATTAGCTCAAGATGATTGACTGCACAGGCCTGGGGAAAGCAACAACAAAACAGCCCACAAAGACACCAATCTTTCCCACCAACCTGTTCTCCTTGCTTTCTATACTGCTGAAACTTAGCCAAGCAGTAACTCCGCCCCAACATAAATATTGTTGCAGTCATTTTTCAGAAGATCTCTGCTCTCCTCAGAAACTAATAATGACACAATCTTTTAAAAATAAAATAACAGAAATGAAGGGATGGTTGTTATTGGGTTGGTTTTCCACTGTATTTTTTCCTCTCCAAAATATTGATTTTATGAGAGAGAGATTTCTGAAGGACTGTTGTATTTCAGGCTGTATTTCAGCTTTATTGAATGGCAAATATATTATTTTGAAAGGTCTTTTTATAAAAATTTGTCTTACCAGCTGAAATTTGTTTCCTACATGAATTTTTGTTCTTTGCTAATATTGTAGGCAAACAAAAAATTGATTTGTTGCTGTCACTACTCAAGAAATTTATGAAAAAAGAAACATTAACTTTTTTAACATCTAGTATCTCCTGACATAACCAAGAAACCAAAAAGACCATATCACTTTTGTCACCAAGTTCAAGGGATGTTGGAAAAAGGGCTAAAGACATCTCAAAGTAAACATGACAAACCTATGAAGCCAACAGGATCTCAGAAGCACTAGGAGTTGATACCCATATTCCATTATGTTCGTAGCAATTTCCAAACTGAAAAATCTAAAAGTGGATTTACATATTTGAGATCATATGAAAACAGGCTCATGGAGACATGATAAACTAGTGAAGCTAGATTGAAAAGTTAAAATACCAAAAGTTGCAAGTTCATGTACACAATTATATTAACTTAATAATCAAATGTTTTCATTTCCAATATGATAGGAGCACCATTGTTTTAGTTTGGAATATGACTTCAGTTTTATCATTGTACATATTTCTAACTGCACCTAATTTCCTTAGTGCTGATACAGATCGCCTAATTCAAGAAAGAAAAGAAAAAAAAAAAAAAGAGAAAAAAAGCAGTACGTCCTGGAGAACTCCTGTGAATTTTTTTTTTTTAAATGTATGTTTTATCAAACTCCTGTATGTCATGAACAGAAGCTGAATTCAGCACTACCATCAGGGAACAATTACGTTTACACCATGAAAATGTTCTAAGCTTCAAGTTTTCACAGATTCTTCACTTGAATTACTAATATCATGAGGTAAAAGGAAAATATTTGGCATAACAGCTGAAAAAAAAAAAAATCCACTTACAGCTCAAATTTAGAATGCTCCCAACAGAGTGGGTAAAAGATTTTTTAATTCTATTAAAAATTGTCTACTGCAGGACAATGCCTCCTGCTCAAATTGATTTCACTAAAGTCAGTAACAGTGAGGCAAGTGCAGGTTTTATTGCAAATGCATGAACAGTAAATGCAAGAACAAAAATGCACCTGCTATGTTTCTGATGGCTTTTATCCCCAACAGTCTTCTCCACAACCTCTTGCACTGTATTAATATGACAAAAGCATCCCGCTGACGTTTCACACGCTTCAGTACCACTCTTTGAATGGGGGTGTTCCGCACAACCATTTTTTCAAAATGGATGGATCAACTCAAGTCATCGGGCTGGTTTCAGCACAGCAGAGTTTGAAACACAGCCAGATTTAGTGAGAGGCACCAGCTCAAAAGTGGCAACATGAAGCCAGCAAGCACAGGAGTAGACGGCTGCTGAAACTCCAGAAGTATTCACTTTGGCTAGAAGATGGGGTGCAAGACTGCCTCACTCCCGGAACAAAGGTAAAACAGAATTTAAGAAGGATGGAAAGAAGACTGGGCTGCAAGCATAAGGGCGCTCCACAGAGCACAACGTTTCACTAGTCATGTTTCACAAGCCTGGGAAAGGACAAGGTCCTTTGGGCAGGTACAGCTCTGAATAGGAAATAAAACTCTGGTCTCGATGCAAACACTGGGAAATAATTACAAATACTATCTATATCTGCAAATTATTATTTATTACTTGAATAAGCTAAGAAAAACTTGCTCTCCGAGAGCACTGCTGTGTGTCTCGCTGCAAAGACCCTCCTTCCCCAGCACGGACCTGACAGGTTTCACCCAGCAACTCTGCAACACAACTTAGTTGCTTTAGGACAACAGGCCTGGCCACAGAGAGGGACAACAAGAAAAAAGAAGCCAAAACAAAATGGAAAAAGAAGAGAGGAGACTCTGCTGCAGCATTTTTTAAAAGTCACCCCAGTCACACAAAACTAACTTGGCCCTATGGACTTGCCATCACTATTGTTCACTCCAACCCCACCAACAAGCTGGCACCGCACCAAGAATGAGCAGCCACATCCAGGATGGTTTTAATTTCATGAGATGGGATGAACAAGGTTTCCCACAAAGCTAATTAGCCTATACTTTAAAGTACAAATACATTTCCCTAGCACTCATTTGCTCTGGGGGAGAAGGTCTTTGGGTCTGGAAGAGGCAGAAATCAAACAAGTGTTTAATGATCAGGACAGCAATGCAGGAAGAGCAGAACTGCACAGGATTTAGGTAATCCTGCTTAGGCTAAACTGTCAAGCCCAATCTTAGACATCTGCTTGTCACTTTGAATGAGTAAAGTTGTCACATGTCCCATATCTCAAATTTACATGGGCAATGAAGGCAGCTAAACAGACAACCACAGAGTCTACTTCTAAAATGATATGTTTCTGAGCACACAAAAGCAAAGAAAAAAGTAGGCTCAGATTCAGAGAGACAGTTTAAAGCACTTTTAAAGCTGGCTTTACAGGCACTTTGTTAAAATAACTCTATTCAAAGGTTCATTAATCTGTGCTTCCTACCAAAACATGCTCCTCTGCATTTAATCCCTCTGCTCAGACTACATTATTAGAGTATTACCAACATTACAAAAGGTTAGGAAATGCCAGAAATCAGGTAGTCTACATAACGTACTTCAGCATAACTATACATTTTAAACTACAGTTAGTATTTATAGGATGACAATTATTTAAAATATTGGCCTGAACTGAGCATTTTGGGAAACATTAACATTCCCATTTGTGCCAGCACATCTGTCCAAATTTTAGAGTATAAATAAAACAATAACACATTAAAGAGCAATGCTGCAGGGGTGAAGCAAATCTGAAGTCTAAATGTAACAGCAGCTTTGGCCTCAATACATAAATCAGGAGAGGAGATGGAGAAAGTGACTCACCATCAGCGGCTTGCCTGATTATCCCCAAACTGTCTGAACATCAAGGCAAGGGGGAGGTGTTCACAAGGATGTAAACTGGGGGTTATTTTTCCTATCTGAACCTGTGCAGACTGGAATTTCTAGATATACAAAAGGATTATAACAAATTCATTCCACAATCAGCTGTAGAAACCCCACCTGCTGTGCGATTTCCCAGAGCAACTGGCTTTTAAGCCACCAGTGGCATTCAAGCCTCATCATTTTTAATAGCAGGAGAGACATCGCTCTTACAAGTGGCTTGATGTATTTAAACATATTTATATTATAAACATATTTTATGTTTAATACATGGCAAGTCTGAATACCTACCAAAGTCAGATTCATTTGTATTCTCATACCATGCTTTTCCTGTACTTCAAGCACTCATCACATATGTGATATTTACACGGTCTTCTTGAAAGACAAAGCAAGAAATGAGTTAAATATATACGTGTATATATATGCACACACACACTTAGAAATCACAAAGGTTGTGTTTGACAATACAGCTAAACCAATCTAACAGGTTAATTTGTTAAGCTGCATATTCAAGGCTTTAGGTTCTCACTAAGCACATTAGTGTCACTGATCTCAGACCTGTCTCCTGAGATTAAAGTGCCAGAAAGCACCTTGCAGGGACTGCTAGCCCTCCAGGCACCAGGACCTGCCTGGCTTGAATGCTGGCAGTGCCACCGAGCCCAGCATGCCAGTGGCAGAAGGACATGAGAATCAGGTGTCCTCGACCCATCTCACAGAGAGGTCCAATCCCACAAATGTGCTGCAGATACACCAAAAACTCAACACGTCCTTAAGTCGGCTGTGGGTGCCCCGCTGGTTTCTGAGGGCCCACGGGTTGCTGCAGGCAGTGGAGGCGACCCAGGGCAACCCTTCAGCACATGACAAAGGTCTGCACCAGACCCAGGACGAGAACCACAAGTTGGTCCACTCCCATCTCTTGCCTGCATCTCGTGCATCTCGGAGATATGCTCTAATCCCTGCACAAAAATAGGCACACTCGCTTGCTGGCTGTCTGCCTGACCCCTGCCAGGCATAGCAGCCTGGGGTGGAGGCAGGGTGTCTAGAGGCTGAGGTTCACAACAGCCCTGCATTGCTCTCAACTCCATCCAGAGCAGCAATTTCTACCTGTAAGAGGCACTAATTGGTGAAGATGAGCAATTACGTCAGCAAAAGCTAAACGTTTCAGGATGAAATGCTGAGCACCCACTAGGATTAGTTCCATCCAGAGACAGCACACCACAGGATGTACTTTGCTTCTTTGTTCGATAAATGTACTACAGTATTACTTATTTATCATGAAGCTACTTTGCATGCTGCTGGCAATGAAACAGTATGAATCACATTTTATATCACTGCTTTGGAGGCTTGATTTTATACATCTTATTCTGCAGAAAGGCAATCACTGTTACAAATTCCTCACCATGGGACTTGAGGACACCATGCACAAATGCTAAGCTTCTGGTGGGAAGTGGGCAGGTTCAAGGACCAATGTAAAGGGATCCCACAACCACAGATGCAATGCTGTCAGGGAGAAATGTGGCCCTACACAGCTAAAGCCTGATTTTATTTTGGTGTAACTACAGAATAGTTAAAGTTATTATCCAGGAATTACAGCGGTACAACTGTGATGCCTCATAGCTCAGGCTTTGCCTAGTACAGAGAACTGGCATGGTGTAACCTCACCAATATAGCAAGCCTCTGGTACAGCCACACAGCAGGGACATACAGTAAGACTTACAGTTGGATGTTTTGCTACACTGCAGCAAAAATACATGCATTAGGGAAACTCAACCGTGTGACTAAACAGGAAAGGCAACTGGGATATACAGCCAGGCATGCACATCTCTATTCTTACTTGGTCTAGCTTTGTCGACCCATTTCAATGTCATCTCCCCGGGTCAGCACCTGAATTTGCAATACCTGTCCCCCATGCTCCCCTATGTCATGCCCAGCAGCGCTGAGTCAGCTCAGAGGGAGCCTGGATGGACAGACAACAGCTTCACAGAGGAAAGCAAAATCTGTAATTGAGACACAACAGCAGTGTAAGTCTGTCATCAGTAATGTTACATTTAAAGCAGTTAAGTCTATGGACCGCAAAACAACCGACACTAAGGCAAGGAGATGGAGCATTAGGGGATTAAAAGGCCTCATCTTCCCTTTGGCAGCTATAATCACTGAGGAGGGAAAAATGAACAAAAAAAAAGCCATATTTGCAGGCTACTTGAGTCATATTTTTGAGGCTATGGCACTGCAGATGGGTAGAATTGGTGAAGGTCAAGCTTCCTGGAAGGCAGGGATTACATTTCTAAACCATATCATTTAAATCTGCCTCCTGAATGCTAAAATTGCTCCCAGGAAACACTAAAAGTTATTTGAAGAACTATATGTACACATGTTGCTGCTCATCTTCGATCACAAGGTGAAAGAAAAAGCACATAAATGCATTCAACTTAAATCACACATTGTTTTGAAGAAGAAAAGTGCAACATAAATGCAAGACTTAATACAGCAAGGACTTAAATGCATGCTAGAAAGCAAACTACTGGGAAAAAGCCTTGTGCCTGCTGAGGCAGCCAATGCAGCATCCAAGATACATGTCCACCTGCTACTTCTATGAATCCAGACTGGAAAGGGCACTTAAAAAGGACTGAAATGTAAAGTGGGGAGTATTATTTTCAAAGGTGTCAGTAAAACACAAAGTACCAGCAAGGTTATATTTATGTTTTCCATTCATATACATACTTCAGCTTCTCAGGATACTGTGACTAATGCTGTATCCTATCTACTGTCAGTGTTGCCAACAATACATATTAACAGGAGTATCCTGCGTTACAGAAAAGGAAACAATCCATATTATAATCACACACACAGATAATTAAAATCAGTAAGAACACAATATTCTGGATTCATGCCGAATGCTGGATTTGTTCCCCTCCCCCCCCCAAACCACAAATGTATTCAGCCATCTTGATTTTTTGCTCTTTATTAACAAGGCTGTTTCTATACAGAGGTCACATGAAACAGGACAGAGGAACAGCCCACTGCTGCTCCGCTCTGCAAAGCTGCAGGCAAAGAGGCTGTCCCCTTACCTTGCCTGCACAGCACAAATCTCAGGGGAGTTACCCCCAGCTCATACTAGTGTACACAGAAAGCAGCAGTTTTCTAGGGTGAAGAGAGTTGTGAAATTAATAATTGGGTACCCAAGCTTTCTGCAAGAGAAAATAAGTATTCACATCCAGGCACAAGCAGAGGGGCAGATCTGAGAGACCAAGAACACAGCCAGCTTCGCCATGCAAGCTTACCAGTAGAAGTGCTCCTCCACCATTTTTGTCACAGCTCTGGAAACAGCTCTTTCATGTGGACCAAGGTGTTTATTTAAATTCACTCCAAGTTTCTCTTCCAAAAAGTCAATAATGAACTCAGTGCCAGACACCTTCTTGTGATTGTATTCAATCCAAGGCATTTTCCCTTGAGGGGAAAGTTTTCCATCAAAATAGTTCTAAGAAAAAAAGCAAGTAAACAAACAAACATACAGACAAAAAAGGCCCTTCAGGTTCTGTTTCAATGAGAATAAAGCTTTTTAAATATTTTTCTCTGTTTTTTAAAGGCAACATTATCCAACAAACTTTTTTTTTAATTAATACTTTAGACTACTGGTAGCTGTTCAATCAGAGCAACAGCTTTACCCTATATGACAATTCAGATAAAATTATTTCCAGGTCTTGCAAGGTATATGCTTTTATGTTGGACCCCATGTGATATAACATTATTTAAGTATCCAGGTTATTTAAGGGTTGGAAATGCTCAAATCTCCCAAACATTGAGTCAGTTATTCTAAACAAGTTTTTAATCACAGGACTCACAACTAAATTTGGCTCTTGCACAGAGCAGCACTTTTCATGTTAAAAGTACTTTATAAAGATTAATTCACTACCTATCTCAGATAGCTGCGTTACCTCCAAGGATAAAACACACACAATCACAACCATATAAAGACAGACATATTATTCCCTCACTGAGCAGGAGGGAAATGTGCCTTTACATATGCTTCTGCAACTTCATAACTTAGAAATCTCATACCTTTACAGACACACCTGTTACAATTGGGTCTCTGAAAGTCCAGCACCAGTACAGTACTAGCGCATTGCTGAATACTGGTACATCTGCTCAGCATAACACTCACACAGAAGTAGCAACGTATTTTCCCCATTTTACAGTTAGAGAAGGTGAAACACGGAGATTAGAGATTTTATGTTTCCTCTGACAAACACAAGAATTGCTGGCTTCCAAGACGTGATCAGACATTTTACTTCAATTCTCTCTTACCCCTGAAGGCAGAGCTTTCTTCCTTTCTTGCGATTCCCACCCTCACATCCTGTGATTTAGTGAATGAAAAAACCTAGCTCAGAAGGCCAAACCATAAAGGCTCATAATAAAGGCTCAGCACTCAGTCTCTGGCAGTCACACTAAGCATTTTGGGATCTAGCTCCTAATTGCTGGAGGTTTAGGGTTAGCAGTTCTGGACTGACCTGTTTGGGTCTCAAGTATTTATCCTTTCTGAATCCACTAAAGATGGATTAAGGTCCTCTCGCAGCAAGGAGCATACACCAGAAGGCACCTCCAGCTCAGTCTGAGAGCACAACATCCTGGCTACCGCTCAAAACACAGATGTGCAATGCACTACTAACACACGGCCATTCCCGGAGGCTATTCCCTCGTGGATGAAAACACACAACAAGGGTAGCACTGCTGGGAAAACAATGCCTTCTGGCTGTAGCCTTTTCTGGGACTTCTGCCCAAACAAATAGCATGGTAGGGACACCAGATTATATAATGTCTCATCTCCTGCATCCCTGCATGGGTGAATAAAGCAACTGAATCTACCTCGCTTGCACATGTGAGTGATGTGGGAGTTATTAGCCCAGTCCATGGAAGAAATTCTGAAACTGCTGAACACCTGAAACAAAGGAGAGCACTACTCCATCCTTCCACATTCCAGACTTTTCCTTCATCAAAAAGGCTCTTTCAGCACTCAGACTGACTTGATAGGTTTCCATAATTTTTCATTATGAATTTAATACAGAATCATAAGCTTTTCCTGGAACTACATACATAGTGTGTCTATATGGCACTGAGCATTGCTGGCTTAATCTTTGTTAAGCCCTTTCAACATGAGATTTCCGTTCTTGTGTACAAACACTGATGTTTTGCTGAAGCTACTAGACTTGAAGATGTGTTTATCACATATTGCAATTACTGTAGTCCATATCATTTGCAACCCAGAAAAAAAGCAAGAGCTAAAGTTCTTACAGGAAAGTTGGTTTACCTAAACTTAAAAAAACCTTCTCAGGATCTTCACGTTTCAATACATACAGTTTATCAAACAAAATAGGAAACATCTTTCAATGACCTGAGAAAACCTTGGTCTCTTGACAAATCTGTCACACTGTTCTTGTATCCACTGTTCTCAAATGGGTACTTTTAGGCTTGAAACCTCGGTATCCTTATGGCTGCTACTAATTGCCATCAAATATTTATCAATATTTATCCCTGCAAAGCAGGGAAAAGCTGTGGTATTATCATTAAAAAACCAAAACCAACCCAACAAAATATCCCCTCATACCTCACAGTACATTTAACTGAACTGCAGCCTGCAAAGCAACAATAACAAGACCTCCCCAGAACCTCATTTACAGAGGAATTTATAAACAGAATGGCATAGGGCACTTCTGGGGTAATTTTATAGTACTATCCAAAAGAAATTAGGTTCCACATTTTCAATTACTGCTGCTTATGCTTTTACTTTTATTCATGTCTCTTCCCAAGGAGGCTACCATCTTCACAGACCTGGCATGAAAACAGCATGTTTCTGCTGTGCCAATTACTTATCAGATTACATAAACGCTCAGGTCTTCTTGTTCCTGAAGGAATCAAGGAACACCCAAACGATCTCCAGAAGCACCCAGAATGGGCTCTTCCAAAGCAAGCTTTATCAAGAAAAGCATCAAACATTTTGAAAGAACAGCTAGGTACTATTGACAGCCCAGCTAATTATTTTTGATGGAGAACTTGCACCTAGAATGGCAGTTTCAAGAAAACATAAGCGCATTACAAGAGTGCATCTGTTGGAAGAAATTCAGATAGTAGTAAGGTAGGAATGCATCACCCAATTCCACTTCTCACATGCCATTAAAGCATGTTGTGTAACACGCAGCACGTTATTCAATAGTCTGATGCACTATAATAAAGTATAAACACAAGGAATTGAGAGAGTAAAAGCAGTCTAACCACCCCTCTGCCTTTTCTTCACTCTGTTTCACAACCTTCCCTTCAAAGCATCCCCTCCCCGGGAAGGCAATGACCACAGCTAGTCTCCAGAGGCAGGCCCTCGGCACCAGCTGCCACCCAGAGTGCCATCGCTTCTCTATCACAGCCCCCACCAGCATGCAGGGAAGCGAGGTGTCTCCTTCTGCGTCCAGCCGTACCCCCCCCTACACACCCACCCCGCTGCCCACTGGGAGGGCCATCGGTTGTCTCTGTCACCTACAGCGTCCTATAGGTAACATAGCCACAAGGGAACAAAAGAAAAGTCTCCAGGTAGTCCAAGTACAGGAAACTTCATAACTCCAGCTGAGAACAGTGCTGCCTGCTGGCTCCCCTCCTGCTGCCTCCTGCTCCCCTACCACTTAATCCCACAGCAGCATGCATGCCTTTCTCCACCTGCCGGAGCCAAACGCAGCACCATACTCCTAACACAAGGACAGAAACACATCTGCCTCTTCTGGAAAAAAAAGCTGCATCCTCAGCTCGTAAACTCAGCTCCACCAAACTGATCTCTAAAACCCTACATAGAGTCGGTAACCCCACAAACACATTAAGCCCATATAATCTGGCACAGCTAAAAGCAGCAACGTGGCATTCCCAGCACCCGCAGGACCCATTCCTGCTCCTGCAGTGTTGCCCCCATGGAGCATATGGATAACCGAGCTAGGTTAAAACCAAACTAAATCTTCATGGTTCCCACTGGGCCACCTCTGGCCCAGCCTGATCTGGCACAGAAAAGGACATGCAGAAAGGGACAAGAGGGAGCCGCTGAAGGTAGGGCTGTTACTTTTGGTGGTCCTCCTGACCTATGCCAGCTTAGTGTGCTCACAGCTAGCAAGTAGGGATAGAGAGATGCAACACCAAAAAGCAATGCTGACCTTCAGTACAGAAAATAAAGAAGGGAAGATAACCATCTGGAAATCCCTCTCTCTCCGAAAAGGTAGGTGACTCAGTTCTACACAGCATTAGCTGTCTAAACGACTCCATCCTGAACCACACGAATGCACAGTGCTATCTTTTAGAAGTGACCATATCCTGTGACAACCATCTTTTATACTGCAGCTTTCTTTAACTACTCTCCACTCTGATCATCACAAACCTCTGAACTGCATCAACTGCCATTAGAAAGAAAGCAGATCTCAAAATAGTTTTCCCTTCAAACATGCAATTACTACCCCAATTACCCTGGGCGGAGAAGCAATGTGTGCAAAGTCCTCCTGCTCCAATGACATGTTTAAACTTCGGTATCTTGCAGGTTCTGTACGCCTAAGTGAGGAAAATATATCCCACAGGACAGAAATCTCCCTATTTAATGCTCTGAAGCATCTGATTCAAGTACCATTAAATCTCAAGACAATGAACATTAAACTCAGTCTTTTAAAGACTTAAGCAAAATGTTACTAACTAGAGCTTCTTTCACTTCCAATGTAAAGGAGTTTAATCACATACAAAGCTGAATATCAACCACAAATGTGTAAAAAAAGAAGTTGTAATATGGTTGGTTTTCCTCTGTAAAACACTGGACATAAATGAAATACTCTTCCTAACATCTTGGTATGCAGCAGTAAAAAGTGACTTGAACCCATGTGGGGTGAGCATGCAACCTACCCACAGCTCAGCCTCTTTGAGGCAAAGAAAGATGCCAAATTTACATCTCTTGGGGGGGGGAAGAAAAAGAGACAGACATTTCTTCTGCCCAAGATCGTTATACTTATCACCACTGTTGTATCATCTTAAACGCACTCAATGCTTCACACAAACAGAAAAAAATCCGTCCCATGTTTCAAAGAGCTTGCATGCTGTATAGCTTGCCGACACCACAATGACGCACGCGCCAGACTCGCAGCATCACAGCTAAACCCTGACACTAACAGGCAAGACTGCTAGATTCAAATTTCTGCTCTCCTGGCTTTCATTCACCACAGTAGCTTGGGCTTCATCCCCTGTGGGAAGATGGCACTGGATGCACCCAGCCACAATTAAGGAGCAGTATTCACAACGTCTGAAAGCAATCCTGTCCTCCTTCACTGGAGGGGAAGCACCAGCGATGGGAGGTGAAGCAAAAAGCAAGAACGCCTTCCCAAGAGAGCTCCAGAGAGAAACCCTCCAGGAAAATGAGCAGCTGCAGCTGCCTAATCTTGATCTCTTTAGCATAGTGAAATTCAAAGACCAAATAATGTTACACTTTAGCTTTGGGGTGTTATGTAGCATTATATAAACTCCAGGCTACTCTCCCACTTCAGCATTTCCAGCCAAGTTAGCTTCTAACATTCATTTAGCTTTGCCAGTTAAATCTAGAGCTGTTCCAGACCAACGTTATTCAAGTCATATCTTTAAAGGTTATACACCAAATTTAACCGGAGACATCAAAGTGTCGATGTACCCACCTAGTTGTAGGCGTATGTTTACATCTCCCTGGGTGAGACAGATCGGGGGGGAGGAGAGACAGGATGCCTATTTGCCATTTCATGCAATTATAGCGAGCCGCAATGTAAAGGAAAACTGCACAATGTACCTGGTAGGGTAAATCGGCCATCCTCAAGTAAGTTTCCATTTTCAGACAGAATGGAGATAAACTTGGAACACCATTGTTAGGCCTTGAAAACTGATGCAGGATGATAGCATCTTTCGAATCAAGCTCTTGCTCTTTCCTGTCAAAGAGAAAACAGAGTTAAAAAAAAAAACCACAGGTGCACAATACGTCAGCACGTTGAATGCACAAAGGAGAAATCCTGGCCGAGGCAACACGCGCGTCCTCCCTTAACGGGCGGCTGCAGGTTTTTGATTCACCGGATCCCGAGCCAGCCAGAAGCACTGGGGACGCCGTGGCAGGCGGCAGCCTGGGCTCACCCTGCGCCAGGGAGCCGAGACCAGCGGAGCCCCGCACCGCCCCACACGGGGGCTGCCGGCTGACGGCCCCCGCGGCCGCCCGGGGCCACCTGTGGAGGCGAGCGCCGGGCACCTCTTCAGAGCCGCCTCCTGCAGGGCTGCGACGGGTAAGCGGGGGGAAAAGGGCGAGAAATAAAGGGGGGGGGGGCGAGGGGCAAAACCGCGGCGAAGCAGAGGAACCGCCCCGCCAGGCCGCAACGCCCTCTCCCCTCAGGTGAGGGCCTCCCAGCGCCGCCTCGGCCCGGCGGCCAGGGCGCCCTTCGCGCCCACCGCTTCTTGCC